AAAGATGGCTAGAGAGGTGCCCAGAGGACATAAGAGAAGGGAGATCTGGGGAGCAAGCCAGGGACAACTGGGGAACCACAAAACTCTGGAGTGTGTGTGTGTTTTTTATGTATTTTTTTATTTTCCCAAATAACTAGACAGCTCATGGTAGAGCCAGTATATAGTATCCATAATTGTACCTTTGCATGGAGCATACTTAACTGCCAGGAACAAATCTCTGGAACAACAACCATTTATTGCATACCTACTAAGGGTGGGGGCTTGAAACTAGGTATAACACAGCTGATGAACTGTCATTTTTAGGCACACAGACTTGGGAGTACATATGATAGTGTGTTAAAAACACCTCTAAATCCTAAATGCATATATGCATTTATTCTCATTTATCTCTCATTCATTCTTCCTATCTTGCAAAGAATCAAGGTAGATTAGATGATAGATGATGGATGGATGGATGGATGGATGGATGGATGGATGGATGGATAGATAGATAGATAGATAGATAGATAGATAGATAGATAGATAGATATAGATAGACAGATAGATAGATGATAGATAGAAAAAAAGAAAACACACACATTACAAAATATTCTGGAGACTCAGTTGACTACACATCAAAAATATCTTCACATTATATACCAAACACCTTTTCAACTATGACAAATATTTTCCAATAGATGTATGCCCACCATATGGAGGTAGAAATTTCTCTATAGTAATCCATAGGAAGAATGCAGGTATGAAAGAGTTAACATTCCTAAAGAGAGGCTAAATTATAAGGGAGAATTTTATGGGTCTCCCTGGAAACATTAACAGTCTCAGTTTGCATTTGTGCTAATGGAGTATTTAAATTTTAGCAAGAAAGGCATGTTGAGATTTTGTGGATCTTTTTAGTGCAGAAATGATAAATGCATTCTTTTTGTTTCACGGAAGGCTTGACAGGTTGAGAGGTCTGAATTCATTAGAATATTTTACTTCAACCTATACATACACTATATACTCATCTAGCGGAAAAAATCTCGGAGCTCCTGTCTGAGCTGCTTAATTAGTAAATGTTGATTGGATTCTCTGTGCTCCGGGTCTGAGCTCCACTTCATCTTCTGGCTTGTCAAGTTGGGTCAATAAGTTAATAATGAGACATATGTATTTAAATTAAATTCATACAGTTTTTCTGCCTTTGTTCTGAGTAGTGTCCAAAGTGCTACAGCATTTGAATGACTTCATCTAGGGTTAGACGTAGACTTGCTCTTACACTGTTGTTTGCCATTTTCCCTTGGCCTCAATTAACTTGTCATGACACGTGCAATTAAATGCTTGCGTTCTATTTCATAAACTCCTGGTTGTATGATTTGTAATTTAGCGATGGAAAAAGTATGAAATAATAGAAAAACCCTTTAGGAATTTTTAAATTACACCAGTAAATAGCTGATAAAAAATATTTCCCGTTTTTATGCACCCAATGAAACTAAAAAATTAAGGTTCTCTTTTCAAGGGAGCAATTTCCAGCCAAATTGTTTCTTAACAATGCATAATCACTACTCCCACTTATAAAATAGCAGTTATAATGGATTCACTGGTTATTTTAGTTGGAAAGGAAATTTTTGGAACCAGGCCACTTTCTCTAACAATTTTAGAAATAAAATACTTTGTAATTATTTTGTACCTTCTACTGGATAATATTAGTAAAGAGAAATAGTATTTCTCAATGAAGGTTCATACTGCATTTTGTAGGTTATGTATCTCCCCTTTGTGTCCAAGAGAAAGCCATTAGTGGGCCCTCTAAAGCTCATAGGGCAAAAAATATATATATCTTCTTTGGCCCTTTCCACGTTCTCCCCTCTCTGAATTCATGGCAGGGAGGGGGTAGTAGGGTGCTGGCTTCCAGAAGCAGGTCATCCTGGTCTCTGATGGGCTGTAGAGAAGCCAGGATAAATTCCTGCTTTTTCTGAGGAACACCCCCCCC